TGGAGGGGTTGAAGGGAGGGCAGGGGAAGGGGGAAAAATAAGAACCAAGAGAGATTATGTAAAGGTGCAAATTTCCAATAATGAATGTCATTATATTTTATACCTAAGATGTACCAATAAAATTAAATTTTTAAAAAAAGGTAAGCACACATTTTTGCATTTGGCATCCATGAAAGGTCTGTAAATTACATTGATTAGCAGCAGGGTGGTGGCACCTCTTCTTTATCTTCCTTCTTTCTGTCTGAAATGTGATGTTTGAGCACCAGCAGCCCATTTGTGACCATGAGACAAAGACAGAAGCTTTATGTTAAATGTTATAGAATAAAAAATACGAAAGGTTAGATTTCTGGTAATTAGTGAATTGCTGTACTAGTGCTGGGCTAGTTAATCCTGAAATTTTATTTTGATTTAAAAAATGAATCTTTAATTTGTTAAAGCTGCTGTTCTTTCAGGTCCCTGTTCCTAACCATGAGAACTAACCATAATTGATACCTCATGATAGAGACTCAAGATGCTTGGGATTTGAGTAAGTGGGAGAATTAGAATAAAATTCACTTTGGGGTGTATTATGAAGTTCTGGGTGAAATGTCAGATCTCACCGGGAAATGCAAGCTGAAGATGCAGATGTGGCATTGAGTCAAGTGGGATGTCAGCCCCTAGAGGTTGTCATCTTCAGTCAGTGGCTCTTCAATTTGTTCAAATAGTGGCTGTAGTAAGAACATTCTCTGTTTCATTTCTAGCATTTTCCTTTGAGTACAGGAAACACAAGCAGTGCAGAAATGTAAAGATGAGGGTGCTGAAGTGATACATATCAGTAGAAAAACTAGGATTGTCCCATAACCATTAAGATGTATGTTAAAACATTGAAACTCTCTTGCTGTTGGTTACAAGTATACAGAGAAACAGTAAAAAGGAATAAAACTACAATTTATTTTGAATATTAGAACTTAAGGCATTAGAAACATTGACAATTAAAATGATTTAATTTCTTTGTGAAACACATAGCGAGAGTAGTTTGCCATTGCTCACCTCTCATTGCATGAGTTACTCCATGGAAGATCTTTTGTATGCCTAGTGGATTGTTATGTGCCTCCCCAAGTTTGGATGATCTTCCAACATTTCACCTTTGCACAAGCATGTGAAATGTCTCTGAGGGTTCCCTTAATCTGGTGTTTTGTTTTGTTTTGTTGCAGTGAGCTTTGAACTGAGGAGTGTTCTACCACTGAGCTGTAATCCTCCACCATTTTATAATCTTATTTTGAGGGAAGTCTTGCTAAAGTTGTCCAAGCAGGCCTCACACTTGCAACACTTCTGCCCCCATCTCCTGAGCAGCTGGGATGACAGGTGTGTGGCCCCACACCCAGCTAATATGGAGCTTGTGCTAGTATTACTTCCTGCTTCTTGTGGCCAGTGCTTTCTTTCTTCATGTTGGTAAGTTCACTTTCAGTAAGTTCCTCTGGATAGCAATGTCAATATTCCTGCAGTCAGCAACTGATCCTATAATTCCATTTATGTTCAATTTGAATTTCACTTCCAGCTGAAATCATTTCTGTATTATTTTCTGCACTTTCATATCAGTTAGCCAAGTATCTCTTTTGATTACTCTATTTTTGTAAAACATCACGTGGATTTATCACTGAGGTACAAGGACTTCCATTATATTAAATTCTGTGTTAGCTAATATTCTACTAATCAGAATAAACTGTTTATCCATTCATTCAATAAATGTGGGTTAGGCAGTGTACCACATGCTTGGAATTGTATCTTACCCATAAATAAAACAGGCAATAATCTTGTCTCTGTGGTATTTACATTTTAGTTGGTAGTTTTGGGGGACTGAGGCATGAAGCAATAAAAATGAAGCCAATTATGTTATTTGAGGCTATAGATAATGAGGTTATAAGTGAGAAAAATATAGACATTTAAATGTACATTTTAAAAAATTTTAGCAACCTTAACCAGATGGTGAGGTGACATTACAGACATCATACCCCACTGGATAGGACACTTGAAAAATGACATAATGCCATTTATATAGTATTGCAGCAAAGATACATGTAACTTGGATTTAATCATGAGGAAACATCAGACAAATCCCAAATAATGATCATTCTATAAAAAAAGAAGTGTTCTCCAAAAATATCAGAGTCATAAATGATAAAATTCTCTTTTAATTTCAATTTCAGGGCTCTTTATTGCCAAGAATTCTGAGTTTTACCAAAGGATATTGATTGACAGTAGATTTTTATTCTAAGTTTATCAACATCTTCTTAGGCACTGACTTCATACCCTTTCAAGTTCTTAGTCTGGATTATGTAGAAAACAAAGCATGTGCCAGTTTGAGGACTGGCACCATAGTTGGAGGTATAACTTGAGGACATTGAGAGGGAGAAGTAGGCACCTGGGGGAGGATTACACATGAAGAAAGGTGGTGGGGATGTTTCTGGGAAAACCACACCTGGAAAACAGGGCCTGGGGCTTAAGTCCTAATGCATCACTCACTTTTTATGTATCTGTGTGTGTATGTATGTATGTATGTATGTATGTATCTATTCATACATTTTTACTAGTGTTTGAAATATGTAAATGTTTACATTCATCTTAGGGAACCAGTGTATGTGTGTTTCAGTGCTTTAGTGAGCACCTGCTCTCTATCAGGACTACCATGAGTTTGTGCCTAAAACACCTAATTCACAACCTCCTGGCCTACTCTGCACTTTTTATTGGGTGCTTATGAAGAGAAGTCTTTTCGGACTTGAATCATCACCCACTTTCTCTACAGTGGGAAGATCTGCATGAACAGTTGCGGTTCCATTTCTATCTGGGTGAATCTCAATGGCCGCATCTGGCAGAAAGAGGTCTCAGAGCTTGTGAGCTATGTAAGAATGAAAACTAGCTTCCTCACTTTTCCTCAGTTAAGTCTTTCTGATGTTTTGAAAGCTCCTATAGACTTTCAGATGAAAGCAAAATATCAAAATACCAAATCTAAGCAGGGAAAGAATGTTCATTTTATGTTTTGCATATTCTGATCCCATTTCTCTCCGTTGGTTAAAAAGACAATTTCTAAGAAAAATATGGTGACATAAAGAATGTAACTTGTTTTTACCACTCCTACATTCTCCTCTCCCTCTCTCTTTGTCTCTTTTCCTGCTCCAAGTATTTTGAAAACTCATGAGAATATCTGTAATCCCAGTTCTGGGGAGGCTGAGGCAGAAGGACCACAAGCGTGAGGTCAGCTTGGGCTGCTTAGAAAAACTCTCTATCAAAATTTTTTTTAAATTTAAAAGAAAGAAAGAAAACTCAGGCTCCTTGTAGACTGTCTCTGGCACCCCTGAGCTTGCCTTTTGCAGACAGTGTTGTATTCAGTGGCCTGTATTCCCTTGTTCTTAAGTGGCTACAGGGATGAATTAATCTGGCCTAACAGACTCATTCTCTTCAAGAGCAGTATTTGGCCTGGGGATGTAGCTCAGTACACAGTACTTACCTAAAGTGTGTGAAACTTTGGGCTCCATTTCCATCCAAACTGAACTTGTTGGGTCAAAACTTTATCACCGTGACAGAAATATTTTATTAACTCATCTAACTATCAAGCACTGCTGCCTACCCTCAGCTCTCTGTTCCAGGCACTTGATAGGTGAAGTCTCTGAGATCCACATGTTTGGTGCCTCCATTTCTGATATACACTGATTTAGATTTTTTTTCTTTTTTTGCAGTAGGGTCTCACTCTGTTACCTAAGCTAGTTTCAAACTCCTGGACCCCACTGATACATCTTTTTTTGGTACCAGGGATCAAACTCGGGACCTTCCACTTGCAAGGCAGGTGGCGGAACCACTGAGCTAAATCCCCAGCCCTAGCTCACTGATACTTTTGCCTAGCTGGCATCACAGGGGTACATTGCTGTGCCCGGCATACAAGTAGAGATGTTAAGAAGTTAGAAGTACTACCTACTGCTCAGGGGAGAAAACAGGATTGAGTATGTAAATTAAGGTCAGCAGTGGTTTATTAAACCATGGCTCTGGATAAGAATATATAAAGTCCAGATAGAGGGGAGGGGAGAAGAGAGGAAAAAGGAGGAGAGGGCAAGGAGAGAAGAAAATTTTGAGATAAATTAAGAGCAAGTTTAGAAGCGAGAATTAACTATCGTATTGTCTTTGCTATTAGTATGTCTTCTGTGATCTTGGTAAAAACCCTTTCAGTGGCGTGCAAACAGGACCAGTTTAACACAAGTACTAAGTCTAGTCTCCTGAAGATTTATTTTCTCAAACCTTACTGATCTATTCTTTCAAACTGGCATCTCATGGTGGGAATATGCTCTTTGGTACTGTGCTGCTTCCCCTTCATACCAGTACTTCAGCTATGAGTTCATCAGCAAATTAGAAAATGCTGGCAGAAATCAATGACATTTGCGGCCTTTTCATTTTCAGGCATGGGTACCATGTACGTTGGATTTCCAGGTTTTGCCCCAACAAGTTCAGTTTTGCCCGAACATTGATGAGCTGAAATCAGTGTGGAAACTGTGAGGATGGGGAGGGACAAGGTGCTTGGGACAGCGATGTTCGTGGCTTGACTTGAGCTCTACCTGCACCCATTGTCCCACCTTCCTTGGCCTAGCACCAAACTCACAGTAACCCAGCCCTTTTCCTCAATCCAGTTTTCTTACTTACCATTTCCCAATACTATGTTATATAGTTTATTTCTTTACTTGTCTATTGTCTGCCCTACTCTTGTGTATAATACAAGTCCTTTGAAGTCATAGACTTGCTTGTTTTCCTCACCTCTGCTGCACCTGCTGCCCCTGACAATGGGACAAGTGACGCAGGTGAGGAGCTGTGTGGTGCAGAGTGGGTTCCCTGATTGTTCATTGAACAGACATCAGAAAATGAGCTTGGTTGAAATGAGAAGAATTATGCCGGACAAAGTGAATTCATTTCTTCTTCAAAATTAAGAATGGCATATTATGTAATAAATTTAATTATAGTTTTGACAAAGTTTTTAGAAAGATAAAATGCACTTCAGGGAGTCACTGTTCAGTTAAGCAATTTTTCAGGCCTTCTTCATCCTCTCAGAGGCAGACACTTTGGGAGGCATATGCATCTCTCTTTTATTTGAGACTGGAAAGAGAGAATGAGGTGATGAGGGAACATCTGAGGGTCAGATTAGGGTGCCAGACCAAGAACAAGTGAAATTTGAAATTGAATACACAGTACCATCTATAATAGCACCTGCAAAACTGAAATACCTAGATATAAACCTAACAAAATATGTACAAGATTAATATGTACAGAAACATTCTGATGAAACACACCTAGAAGTAATTAAATAAACAGAGAGATGTTACATATTCATGGATAGCAATATGTCACGATGTCAGTTCTGCTGTAGTTCAGTGGGAGAGGAGCTTGCCTACTATCTGTGAAGCCTGGGTTTGATCCCCAGCAGCACAAAGGAAAAAAAAGATGTCAGTTCTTCCCAACTTTACAGATTCAGTGTAATCCCCAACAAAAATCTCAGCAATTCTTTTGTAAATATTGAAAAACTGATGAAAGATTGTAGGGAGATGCAAAAGATCCAGAATAGGCAACATGGTATCGAGGAAGGCCAAAGTGAAAAGGCTGACTTCAAGACTACAAAACTATAAATCAAAGCAGTATGGCACTAGTGATAGAATAAATGAATAGATGTTGGAACAACTCAACATCCACAGGCAAAAGAAATTAATTTAGACATAAAGCCTACACCCTTCACAAAAATTAACTCAGAATGGATAACAGACCTGAATGTACAATGTAAAACTGTAAAACTCCTAGAAGATACCATGGGAGGAAATTTACATGGCCTCTGATTTAGTGATGACTTTCTTGATACAACACCAATGACCCATGAAAGAAAAAACTGGACATCATTAAAATTGAAAAGTTTTGCTCTGTGAAAGACATTGTCAACAGAATGAAAAGACAGGCCATAGACTGGGAGAAATTATTTGCAAAAGACATATCAGACCGCTGCCTGCCTTGCAAGCACAAGGTCCCAAATTCAATCCCTGGGACCCCCACCAAAAAAAGACATATCAGATGAGGGACTGTTATCCAAAATACACAAAAACTCTTAAAACTTAACAATAAGAAAACAGCCCAATTTTAAAATGGGCCCAAACCCAGACAGACACCTCAGCAATAAATATATACAGACAGTAAAGAGGCATATGAAAAGAGGCTTCACATAATATTAGGGAAATGCAAATTAAAACCACAATGTGATACCATAACACACTGACTAAGTGGACAATGTCCAGAACATTGACCCCACCATTTGGTGGCAAGGGTGTGGTACAACAGGAGCCCACTGGTTATGGGTGGGGATGCACAATGGTGTAGCCACTTTGGAATAGAGGCTGGCAGTTTCTTACAAAAGTGAACACACTCTTACCATGCAATCTAGCAGCCACACTGCTTGGTATTTACCCACTGGAGGTGAAAACGTATGTCCTCACAAAAAAGAATTTACACACAGATGCTCATAGCAGCTTTATTTAAAATTGCCAAAATTGGAAGCACCCCAGATAGTCTTCATTAGGTGATGGATACATAAACTAGGATATATCCTTGCTATGAAATATTATTCAATGGTAAAAAGAAATAAGGCATTGAGCCATGAGAAGACATGGAAGAAGCTTACATGCATATTACTAAGTGAAAGAAGCCAATATGAGAAGGGTACTACCGTATGATTCGAACCATATGACATTCTTGAAAAGACAAAACTATGGAGACATAAAAAGATCAGTAGTTGCCAGAGGT